CAGAAGAGTGTGAAACTCCAAAATCTAAAGCAGCTTAACCAAAAGAGTTAGCTGTACTCTGAATTACTTGAGAAAAGTAAGACTTCTGAGCCATAAGTCTCAGGACTTGCAACTAGTTCAGCTTATTAATGCTGACTGACTGACTTGCCTTCTGACTTAGGCCTTTCAGGTCAGTATAGAACCATAGAATTGCTCAGGTTGGAAAAGACCTTAAAGATCATCAAGTTCAACCACAACCTAACCACACTGCCCTAACGGTGTAACAACCCTCTGCTAAATCACGTCCCTGAGCACCACATCCAAACGGTTTTTAAACACATCCAGGGATGGTGACTCAACTGGGATGCCTATTCCAGTGCTTAACCACCTTTCTGTAAACAAGTGTTTCCTGATATCCAACCTAAACCTCCCCTGTTGCAACTCGAGGCCATTTCCCCTTGTCCTGTCACCTCTGAGAAGAGACCAACCCCGCTCTCACTGTAAGCACCTTTCAGATACTGGAAGGGAGCAGTAAGGTCTCCCCTCAGCCTCCTTTTCCCCACACTGAACAGCCCTAGCAACTTTCAAGCTGTTCTTTACAATTTCAGGGCTGTGTTTCCCCCACATCAATCCCTTATTTCTAGCATCAGAGGCTTTAAGATAAAAGGCTGAGTTGGCAACATTTGCATAGGAACAAGTAGACAAAGGAAGTTCCCACCGCCCAGGTTGTGGTTTTATGAACACCTTGGATGGTAATAGTTCAGCTGGGTCTCTGCTGAAAGCAATCAGTGCCTCTGGTTTTCTTCTCAGTTTGGACCACACATGCTGAAGTCTACAGGAAAAATGAAGACCTTAATTGAAAAATCTTAATGTTCTGAGATCGCTGTGTGAAAGACCGTCAAGCTGCTATGTCTGAAGTCTCCTGTGTTGCAAATAGCATTAGTACCAAGGGGTCTTGTGCAGAGCTGAAGAAAACTGATGTGGAACTAAACATGAAGTTTGAGGTGCATGTTTGCATGTGATTTACCACAAGGAATAAATTCGACCTTATACTCAGGTATTAATTTTGCATTCAAGCCTGGCTTTCTGTGTAGACTTACATGATGGTTTTTGTTCAGTAACACTATGTTATCTCTATGACATTCCTTGTGTATGACTGACTGCCTTAAAACATTGTGTACATGTTAATAATGACGGCGATAGACCCTTACGTTAATCACTCATTTGAGCTCTAATGGTAACTTGCACTACAGTGTTTACTTTGATACTGACTTTTTCCATGTCAGTGTTTCTTTTAAACTTCATTTTAGCAATTTTTAGCCCTCCTCCCCCAAAAAACTGAGTACAGCTGCTTCATTCTGAATCAAGAAAAAACTGAAATCTGCTGCAGAAGTCACCTGGTGTGAGAATTTTAGTAGCAGCACAGAGTTGCAGTGGTAAGATAGCAATACTTACCATCTTGTGGCCAGAGTGCTGTGCTGTGGGGCCCTCAATGCTGGTACTGCAGCAAACCTGAACTAAACAGGAGGTAGCAGCAGAGTGAAAGGATTACTGTCAGAGCACGTGTTAGCCAGAGCAGCAGCGGTGTAGGTAAAAAGGCAGAAAATACCAGGGGATGGAAGTTGCCAAAAATATATCGCTCACCTCAGCTGTGCTGACACCTTTTATTCCCAGCTGGGTAGGCTTTGAGCTGTTGGGGACTGCACAAGCCCTCGTGGTCCTCTTTGCAGGAAGCCACGATTGAAGTTGTCACACATAATGTTGTTTTCAAGGGAAGTCCTTTGCAGATTTCCCACAGCGGTTCTTTGCTGCCAGACCTGCACAGAGCTGGTTTGCTGACCAACCCTCTTGCCTCTGTCTACAAACGTGCAGGGCTGAAGCTAGATCCAGAGCTCAGCTTGAGAAAAGCTGTTCTGCAACCAGCTGTAACTGCTGCACGCCTAAGGGAAGCCAGGTTTTGCTCTGACTGCAGCTGGGCTCAGCCACGTGTGGCTATTCCGTAGTCTGCCTGCTACTCAAACAAGTACAAGTGCCTTTTAGAGCTGCTGTTTTCTAGGAAAAGAGAAACAGAGCACATTTGCAGTAAAAACAAGTGAATGGTCCTGGGAGGTTACTGATGATGACTGAGGCTTTGCTGCTGCTTGTAACTGGGATGTAGATTGTGTGATCAAGGAGGATGTTTTCTGGTGTGAAACTTGAAATGATGTTAATATGTACACAATATAAATTCTTTTCAGAATGCTCTGCCATCAGTTTTACTGATAGGCCGTTGAAGCCTCATGTTTCTTTTAAACGCCTTTACAACACTTTTTGAAAAGTTAATTTTGGGTGTTTTGTATTTAATGCTCTACTGCCATTATATAAAATTAAAAGCATTTAAAATAAATACTGGGGTATGCGATTTGTGGTGCTCTACAAATGATGTCAGCCACAATCAAGTATACTCTATGTTCTATGACAGTGACTAGAAATGCACTGGCAGCCTGCATGTTTCAGAACAGGACAGGACTACTTACCTTGCTGTGCAGCACAATTAGTCCTAGAGTAGCACACTTTATGCCTCCCTCAGGCTTACCCTGCAGCTTCTCATACGCTCCTGGTACCCACATAGGGGCTCTGGTCAGTCACTGCATGCACTTCTGTGGCACTCACTCCTCTTCCCAGAGGCCACAGCTTCACAACAGGTGGCCCAGAAGACTCTACTGAAGTCACACTTGTGAAAACGTTTCAGCCAACTTCACTTCAACTCCGTAATTTGTGATAACATAACTCAGTTCAGTTATGTCATTAATTGTAAAGTTCAGGATTTCGACTGACCCCTTAAATTTGTCTGAAACATGAGAAAAACCTCTCTGGTTTGAAATGTTGATGTGAGGTGCAGGCGTTCAGTGCCCCAGAAATAGAAGAACGTGGCAAAGCCTTATTAATGACATAAAGCTGTGGTAACAGAAACACCCTCTGTATAGAAAACGCAGCACAAAGCTGCCGTCAATTAATTCACTTCATACTTTCATACACCTTATTATGCATCTTTCTGCTTTAAATCTTTCCATTCCGTGTGCCAGTGCCAGCAGAAAGCCTCCCAGGCAGCAGTACTTAAAGTGGACACACACACACTGGACAGACACCTGCAGCAGAGCCCAAGGCCTGTGCCTGGCTCTCCAGCACATGGGGTGGCCCAGCAGCAGATCTGCAGATTAAAGCAGTTACAATGGGAACCTGACATCCATCCCATAATGCACTCCAGGATCCAGATGGGCTGAGTGACTCTCAGCAGCTGTAATGCATTACAGATGCTCGCAGCACATCTATGCTCTCTAGGTGGTTAACCTATGATATTCAGCATAGGTTTTTAGAAGGAATTTCCAGGCAGTGCTTTGAAGGGATTTTGATTTTTACTTCAGTCCAATGTCAGAAGCTCCCACATACACTCATAAATGGGATCAGAACCCTGGCACTCAGCTCTGGGACCCACTGCATTGGTTCTTATCCAACTAGAGCGACCTGCTTAACAACAAATGGCACAGGTTGTTTATCAATATTACATTTAAGTAGTGCTATATAGATATTTGTGAATTCATTTCCTTTCCATTAGAAATACTGACACATATCTAAAAGCCTGCAACAAGGCAACAAGTAGCAAAGTTGATACAGCCAGTGAGGCCCAGTCCTTAACAAGGCCATCCAGGATGGCCCTTTGCCGAGCAGCCTGCTGAGGAGAGGCCACTCATGGCCATCTCAGCAGCCACCCACACTCATGTTGCTTTTGATCCTTCTCCCCGGACTCAGGTAACAAAGGAAGGAAGCTGACGCAGGCTCAGAACGAGTGGTTTCATTACAAATTTATTTCTTTAAACATGGCCACCTCAAGAATTACAGTATTACTTCAGGGAACATGAAAGAATAACCAACAACTCAATTTTAGAGGGGAAACGAACAGGTAAGTCAGAAGTTGTTTTCCATACAGTAAGAGGCCAAGCCAATAAATTCCAGAATCTGAGGACAATTTCCAAATCCAAAGCTGGGCTCAGTGTACAGTGGAAGCCGACTGCAGCCTTCGCCGCCTTTCTGTACTGCTGGACTCGGTTGTAACTTAAATGTACGGGAGCAGAATGCAAAACGATCTCTTTTACCAATTAGAAGTTAACAGCAACAGGCACATATTAAAACGACTGCGGCAAAGCCTTGCCAACGGCTTTACGCTGAAGCTCTCTCCCAGAAATGGCTGTTGCGACAAACTGTAAACAGAATCGATAAACAGTCTTTTACAAGAATAACAGGGAGATACAAGTGAACTAAAAGAAAGCACCAGTTTCTCAAATCAGCTTACAGTTGTGCTTACTGTACTGAAAACGATGTCAAACAAATTACAAAAATGGAATGTTGTTAAGTTTAAAATTAGTCCTTTAATTTTGTCCTAGAAAAACATTTTCTCCTTTTCCCATCCAAACCCCACCAACGGGCGATGTTTCAGCAGAGGGAGGAACAGGTAAACAATGCACTTGGTTGTGGTTTTTTTTTTTTGTAATTTTTCTTTTTTTTTTTTTTTTTTTTTCCTTCAAATCACAAACAAATTTGGTCACTTAGCTTTGTGCATAGTTTAAGGCATCTGTAGCAATCTGTTACAGTTTCCTCCCCGATGTGGCTGTTCATGAAATTGTCACATTCTAAAAGAATAAATTAAAAAAAAAAATAAAATGCTGCCTTTCAAACCCTGCCCAGACCCTCCCACCCCACTCCCCCCCACCCCCCACACAGACTCACGCACCCACACATACACACACTGCAGCAAAGGGGCATTTGTACCCTTGTTCTGAAGGACACGCTTCCCATCCCGCTTTATTTCAGATTGGCAAATACCCTGAGCTGATGATGGTGTTGAGACATTCCACCTTTGTTTTTTTCTTGCATGTGCAGTTCAAGTGTACAATAGTGAAAACAACATGCAATGTTTTCACTGCAGAATCGCAATGCAGTTCAGATGGCGCCCCGGCCCCCCCCTCCCCCCCCCGCCCCTTCCCGAATTCTGACGTGTTTTCCGCTTTTAAAAAACTGCATTCCCATACAGCACTGGAGTAAAGCTTGGCTGTGCTCTATGATGAATGCTCAGTTCCCAGTGCACAAACAAAATTATGGCAAATGGGAGGCTTTTCCGGCATCCAAAAAACAAGAGCTGCAGTCTCGGATTTGATCTTTTTTCTTTTAAAAAAGCAAAAAACCCGGGTTAGTGGTTCCTTCACAGCCATGCGCAAAGGTTAAGTCTAGAACCCATAGTTTCAGAGTACGTTTGTAAACATCAAGTCTTGCCAGAGGCAGCAGAGGATGGGCACTTCACATTTCCGTATTAAAACAGGGACTGAGTGGAAGGTATGCTCCCAACACATTCATGCAAGTCTCGCTAAACTCCGAGGAAGTGGAACGATCCATCTCAAGTCTTAGATCTGAAGACCGTGTTTCAAATTTCACTAAAGAAAAACGAAGGTGTGGCACAATGAAGCCTTCGTACTGTTCCTCCAAGGCTCGGTCACCGCTGTGCTTTGCATATTCAAGGTTCCGAACGAAAACCAACCGAGGCATCTGCATATTGCTCTATGTTCAGATCTCGCAGTTAAAAAAAATCAGGTTCAAATGTCTGTGTCGAAGGAAAACTTGGAAATAATAAATAATGCTGGCATCATTTTACCAAGACCTCGGGCGAGCAAGTATCTCCTTTAATCCAGCTGTGCAGACACCGAGAGAAGAGGCAGTTTTGTCATGAGGGCTGAGGTCAGGACAATCGAGGTTCCTGAGGTAATATGTCTGAGTCCATCTCCTCAAAGGCAGGGTCAGCATCCTCCCCGCTGCCGGACTGTTCTCTCTGCACCCCCTTCCAGCTCGCCTTGTTCAGTCCCAGGTGGCCGAGCATCGTCTGCGACAGCCGCGTGTTGGAGAAGCGGGCCCACTCTGCAAACAGTGGCTCCACCAGGTAGGTCATGAAGCCTTCAAAACAGCAAACACACACAGCCACGTGAGGAAAACAGGGACAGAAACTACGTAGTTCAAGTAAGATGTAACAATAAGCTAAACCATGCCGAGTATTGCATTCAGTACAGGTTGGGGGATGACCTGCTGGAGAGGAGCTCTGTGGAGAAGCTCTGTTTCTTGGTGGACAACAGGTTGGTGATGAGCCAGCAGTGTGCTCTTGTGGCCAAGAAGGCCAACGGAGGTGATCCTTCTCCTCTACTCTGCCCTGGTGAGGCCACATTTAGACTACTGTGTCCAGTTCTGGGCTCCTCACCTCAAAAAAGACAGGGATCTCCTAGGAGGAGTCCAGTGGAGGGCCACAAAGGTGAATAAAGGCCTGAAGCACCTCCTATAGGGAGAAAGGCTGAGTAACATGGGGTCTCTTCAGCCTGGGGAAAAGACCACTGAGAAGAGATCTGATCAATGTTTAAATATCTAAAGGGAGGAGGGAGGCAAATGGATGAGGCCAGGCTCTTGGTGGTGCATAGCAATAAGACAAGGAGTAATAGCCTAAAACTCAAACACAGCATGTAGAAGAACTTCTTTATGGTAAGGGTGACAGAGCACAGAAACAGGGTGTCCAGAGAGGTTGGCAGGCCCCTCATCTAGTTCCAACCCCCTACAGCTCCCTCAGCCTGTCTCCATAGGACATCCTTGTGGCCCTCCACTGGACCAACTAATACTGGATTACAAGATCTTTTTTCTTTTCCAGAACAGTGAGCAAATAAAGGAAAATATTAGAGAACAGGGAGAGAGAATCTAAATCTTAGTTATCTAATCAATAACTAAGTCGCATAAACTACACAATAGATCTCTCTTAGAAATATAGTTTTTCTAACAAATTACCTCATAAATGATCTAAACATGGGTGGGAAGAATAAGAAAAGCTGATTCTTATCACAACATAAACCTGATTAAAAATACTGAAAAGCACAATCAGAAAAAAAATTTTACCTGAAAAGGATACAAAACAACAACATACATTTAATTAATTCTAAGCCAATCTGACCATAAACCATTCCATGATTTCTATTTTTGCTGCACCTATTTGCAGTACCTGTTCACACAAACAAATGTAAGACTACTGAAGTTGTGCTTGGTTCTGTCTGTAAATTACAAAAGCATGATTTTTCCAACATTCTAAATTAGACTTGCAGCTGATTGAACAGATGAGATCTTCTCAATCTCTAATTTCAAACACAACTCATAGTACAGTTATGGTTAAATATATTATTCTTTGCAAGGTTTGAAAAGATTCCTATTCAATCTACATAAACTACTTAATAAGCAAGTCAGCCCTTCTGCTATTTTAAATCCAACTGGAGTTAGCAGTAATTTCATGTCTCTGTGGTTCTCTATCAGTTCAGTATCTACTGCCCTTAGTAAGGCTGTATTTAAACTGACTGCTAGCATTCCAGAAAGCTAAATCAGAGAGCTGGAATCCTCCTGTGAAGTGCACACAGACAGACCAGGCAAAGCTTGCAGCAAACATACGGATATGGTATTTTCTCCAATACACATTCTGAATGGGATCTACTGAAATACACAGAACTGCAGTTACCAATCTGGATGTTGGCAATGGTCTCCGTCTGTCGGTCACAAAGTGGACTCACACCCAAGTGATATTTTTTTTCAATATCTCCTAAAGAAGCAGAAGTATAATACAACAAGTTAAGTCAACACGTCCAAAAACAGGTTTTTGGGGTTTTTTTTTTTAATCACACAAGCAGTAACGAATGAAAAGCAACAGATCAATGGATTCCTGAACATACTTCCTTGCAAAAACCCCTGGGCTGCAGTTGAAATGACAAATTAAGACCCCCCTCATCCCACTTTGCTACACAGAAGACAACAGTTTGGCCTTCATGAATTTATTTCTCACTAAGGGCAATTTGCTGTTACATTTCCACATATCTTCCTCTGACAGTAAGTTCCACATCTCAGCGCTCAAGAACTCAGCTCTCCATTTTTCATAGCTGTGCACATTAGCATTTCTCAAATCAAGATAAACCACCCTTGAAAAAGGAGAAGCACGGGTTCTTTATTATTAAAAGAACTCAGTAACAGTGGACAAAACTCATGTCTTCCATCTGTCAATTAAAAGCTTCATCAAATGTTGTCCATCTAGTTATGGCTACTGCTTTATCAGAATCTCTTTCCTAGCTTCTTCCTGCTCACCAACAGGCCCTCATTGCCAGGGAAATTTTTAATATACAAGATCTGGCAAGAATATATTTCCTAACTTACTGAAAGCAGCAGGAACACGTAAACTGAACATGATTATTCATCTGATGCACCTTTCAGGATGGAGGATCTATTGAACCTGCCATTCTGCATTCAGAACTCTTCAGTGGTTTTCACCAGGTGTCAGTAGCACCAGCCTTTGCCAAGAAACACAATCAGTACAGGAAAAAAATCCCACACTGTACTGTAGATCAGTGTTAGTCATAAATGTAAGTCACTATTTATTTGCATGCAGCTATGACTCATGATTGCTTTCTCCGCACCATAAATACATCACCTGCTACCCATACTCTCACTTGCCTTGATGGAAGAACTCCTCTGTTACTTTTTCACTCCACTGCTTACTCAGCTCCCAAGTCCGACACGGATTACAAATATCAGCACACTTCAAAGCCATCTAGGAAGTTAACACACAGCGTTAGGCCACCCAACTGCCCCTTTCCTTCCAACAATATCTTCAGTTCCCTATTTCTGGCAGCAGACATTTTGCAAACAACAAACCTACCTGACATTTGTGCTTCCCTCTGGTTGCATTCTATAATCACACTTAAACACATGGGAAACAATTAGATCTTGTGATCACCTCTGAGCAATACCAAAATTAAGGCAAGTCAAAGCATTTCAAGGGCATTACATTTAGTATACGTACTAATTAAGGAGGCAGCAACAAACTCAGAAGTGTCAGTGTAAGCAAACAGTGTTTTGCGTTTCTACCTCTTAAGTTTACATCTTCTGTAATGGTTTGCAAAGGACAGAACTTCTCATCTGTTTGTCCGATTTCTTTTGCAGTCCACAGAACAGATCTAATGATACATACACCTATGAAGCTGAAGGTATGAAGCTGATTCAATTAGTTGCACTTTTTTTTTCTTCTTTGCTGAAACGTGTTCTAACAAAGCATTTCACAGTTCTGAGACTGTGCTGGAGTCATCAGAACGCAAAATCTAGTTCTTAGAAGTGCACCTCTCCTTATCTTAGCAGCTCTAAGATTCCAGATTACCAGCGTGTGATATCTCTGGGGCTACATGCTAGGAGGAAGGGAGGAGACGTAAGTGGAGGGAACAACCTTTTTGTAGTGAAACAAAACAACTGAAGGCATTTATTTCATTTTTAACATAGCCTACAAGTAGTAGTATTTAGCACGTTAATTATTTTTGAAATTAAAATCATGTTTTTAAAAAACATAACAAAAAAAAAATCACCTGTAAAATGAAGTGACGGTGGTTCGCATCCTCTAAACATAGGTCTCCTCTATCCAGGTGGGATCGGAACATGGACAGATACTCATTTTGCTGACTGATGTCTGTGGCAAGAATGAGATCACCTATCTGGCTTTCCATCAGCTGCCTGAAATTAGTGGCACCAAGTATTCAGAGAGGGTAACAAAGAACAATAGCTATCACTAGATTCACACTGGTTGTGTGTGGGATTGTTTTAGTCATATTCATTATTATGCAGATGCAAGTCACAAGCTTACTGATCAGCATTTTCACAGCAGTTTCTTCTTTTGTTTTTCCTGCCACTTCCAAACAAATATTGGGACATTTCATTGGCAGCTTTCAGAACAACAGATTTGGATTTTTGTTTGTTTTTCCCCCAAATACAAATTAATTGTTCAAAGTGTACTGATTGTTAACACAGGTAAGAAGGTTCTGTGCTAAACTACAATTGCAGTGACAGAACGAGAAAAGCTTTAACATAACCAGGTGCTTGACTATACCTCTTCAGTGTGCTCACACTGAATGTTGTGTTCCAAGTTCTACATTGCACTGCTCTACCCTAGTAGCAAGGAATTATTAAAAAGGTCCAGATACCAAATTTAGGTAATGAACTGCCATGCAATAACTGTTTGTTTTCTATAGCTCTCTTTATTCAGACACAGCTTACTTGCATCTTAAACTAAGACAAATTACTTTGTATCAACATACCTGTTTTCTAATGACATATGTGCAAATAAACCAGACTCTCTCAGCAACCCCACTGCTGATCTCCAGTGATGGTTCTCCAATACTGAGGTATTCTGCAAATGACAGCAGATATCACAGGTATCAGTGACTTTTTTGTAATTGAATGCCTTACACTAACAGCTGCACCAGACAGAGGGCTTGTTTCTTTGTTTGCTTATAGAGAGAACCAAGTCTCTCACATCCTGAATACTTCATCAGCTCACAGTTTTATCCCAGGGGCATGGAAACACTCTTTCAATTCACACCTACAAGAAGCTAAAGACACCACAATTTATATTCCTTTTCTGTTCTCCAAACCCGATTTCAAAGCAACTGATTTTCTTCTTACCTTATACAAAGTTGCTAAGTAATGGTTTGTTTTAATTAGGAAAGGTTGGTTAACGCCTGGGTGATCCAAATCATGTGTGGCAGCTGCAATTAAACTGAGCAGAACATCCCACGGAGTTAAGGATTCGGACAGCTGTAAGACAACAACAAACAGAATCCTGTCAGCAATACAAGCGTGGCCATACCTGCACCAGCGTCACATTTATGGTTTTCTTTTTTAGTAGTTAAAAGCCAACAGGAATTCAATGAAAAGTTAAATAATGTGAAATCAATATTCTACTCAGTCTCCGTTTTTTGTTTTTGTTTAAGTCCTAAACACAGGAGGAAAGCCTAATTTGCACTAAAACAGAGGACAGTATTGCATGTACAAAAGTGAAAAGCTGCAACTCCCTGCAAGGACAGGATGTTATATGCCCTTTTGCATTTACCATCTACTACACCCCACCTTCATCATGGTGGTGCAGCAGAACCAGTAACTGTATATGTTACTAATGATACCAATCCCATACTTCTATCTGAAGCATTACAAAGCATTCATCAACAGTATTACACTAAAAAATGCTCAGAGCTACCAAACCGTGTGCCTTAAAGGCACACTGGGTATCAGCCCTACTTGTTGTTGTGATAAAAAGGTGAGTTTGGGGAAAGGAGGCTGTTTGCTTTGTTTTTTGGGGGGCTTTTTTTTTTTTTTTTTTCTTTTATGGTAAAAACTGTATGTGCACACAATACTCTGTGTTCAGTTTTGGGCACCTTAATATCTCAATACAGAAAGGACATTGAGGTGCTGGAGCAGGTCCAAAGAAGGGCAACAAGGCTGGTGAAGGGCTTGGAGAAATTGGCCTACGAGGAGAGACTGAAGGAACTGGGGCTGTTCAGTGTGGGGAAAAAGAGGCTGAGGGGAGACCTTACTGCTCTCTTCCAATATCTGAAAGGTGCTTCCAGTGGGAGCGGGGTTGGTTTCTTCTCACTGGTGACAGGACGAGGGGAAATGGCCCTAAAATGCACCAGGGTAAGTTTAGGTTGGATATCAGGAAAAACTTCTTTACAGAAAGGGTTGTTAAACACTGGAATAGGTTCCCCAGGGAGGTGGCTGAGTCACCATCCCTGGATGCATTTGAAAACTGCTTGGATGTGGTGCTCAGGGACATGATTTAGCAGAGGGCTGTTAGAGTTAGCTAGTATGTTCGAGTTAGCTAGTATGGTTAGGTTGTGGTTGGACTTGATGACCTTTAGGGTCTCTTCCAACCTGGGCAATTCTATGATTCTATGATTAAACACATGTATTTCCATATGTATAATTGAGAATGCTTCCTTACCTTAGGCTCTTTTAAGTAACAGTGCATGGCCTGAGTCACATCAGCAGCATGAACTGCATTATGATAAGGGTTTTGACTGTGATAATCTTCTTGAACCATAACTGCAGGAAAACAACAAATATCTAAATTTAAATAAAACAGCAATTTTTTCATGCATCATTTGTTAGGCACAGAAATATGCAACATCACAAGTTACACACACATGAAAGCGTCAAAGTCAGTGAATTGTCAGTTGAACCAAAACCAAGCATAAAGGATTTTTATGTGAGGAAACTTTTCCGCAAGAAATGAGCTACACGTAAAGCCATCTCAGAGAAAGAATTATACAACTTGAAATCAATATATTATCTGAGATGCTTTGACTTCCAAGGAAGTCTCCCTTTGAAAACCTAGCCTGCTTGAATGTTGAGGCAACCAAGCATAAGAATGAAGATGATACTATGAACCAAAGCACTGGGATGACTAAACATCATGCCTTGAAAACAGACAAATCAGAGGAAGTAGGCAGTGTTTTACTGTCATAGGTAGTGCTTTTCTTTCCTCTTCCTACAGTGGTCATGAGAAGCCACCTCTATGCAGTACGGGCGTTTTCTACTACTTGTGTACTTAGGGAATTTTAAGACTATATACAATTTAGAAAGGAATCTCATTAGGAGTGGCAAGTCAGGTCATCATCTAAGATTAATATTTCCTCCTTATCTTCTTCCTTGTTTTTCTCCTCCATCTTCCTGACTGTCTTTGAACATATGTACAACATTTTAAAGAATATCCACATAAGCTTGAATACAAAGCGTAAAAGAACTGTAACATTTAAAAGGGTAGAGAGAAGATCTGAAGAGCAGCAATCAAACTATACTTTAAATTGCAAAGTCTTTCCTGATGACACATTAGTTCATCCAAGCCAACCTCAGAAGAACACTTTCCTGGCTGACTACGCTCTGTCATTCCCATCCAAACATCTTTTCCTGCTCAGTTTACAATGCCAGCACTCTCCATGTGATTGTGACTGTAATGTTAGAGCAGTGCATAGTATTTGTGAAGATTCGTGGCTTATGAAAAGCCAAAAAACTGTAACCACTTGTAATTTTGCTGGCATTTGGCACACTGCTGAAACCTCATCTGGACAAAAATAAAGAAAATAAGCATCTCTGGGCTCTGTTAACCTGAGGTAGAGCTCACTTTCACATATTCCTTATGTCTACCGAATGAGTGAAGATGCCCATCATTTAATCCTCTGTTTTTAAGGTTTCATAAGCTGGTCCAGATACTCAAAGTCTGGAATACTTCTAACTTATTTTAATAAAGTAGAACAAGGACAGTATTTGCCTTGTATTTTCTCTCTCTTTGAATGTGGAATAAGAAATTGAAAGCATACAAGAGGAGCTGGTCAATCTCCAGATAACCTTTTGAAATCATAGAAAGACTGTGTGTGCATATAAGCAAATATATATACATGTGTGTGTGTGTGTGTGTTAATGTATGCATACATATATGTACATATACACACATACACAAAATAAAATATTAAGGTTCCACTAACGACTAAAACCAGATTTCTCTTCTCAAAAAAAAGATTCTAGTAAGTTCTCAAACAAGATGGATTTTGTGGGGCACTGGGGAGTACATGAAGTATCAGCCATCTGAAATTTTCTCTTCAGATTACTATGACCTAGGGTATAAAGGGCAACAAAAGAAAAGAATGATTTAATGCCAAGAAGCATTACTTGCAGAAAAGCTCCTTGATTCAACAGATGGGCTGGGGCAGAGCTAAGAAATGTTTTGTTACTGCTGTTAAGTAGAAGGCAATAACAAAAAGAAAATGATGATTGATTTCAGTGTTAGAATAAAATGTTGCCTTCTCCCACAGTCTAACACCATTTCAGTGGCTTACAGTTTTGAATTCTGATCAACTAATCCAGTTATTCCTGTCTGGAGTTTCACTTCAAGTTAAATACTCCTTTGATAAATCTCCACAAGCCAGAGGATAAGCAAGCTGACAACCAAACACACTCAGTTACAACTCCAACAGCTCAAAATCAGATTTCTCTTAACTGCTTTCTGCACACATCTCTCCGAATACCAGTCCTCAAGGTCAGCTTCTGTGTCTTTTTAATGCTGGAAGGAGTTGAGCTCCTTTTTGAAGATTAAACTCACGACAGAACAATTAAAAATCCTCAAGTAGAAAGAAACGATGAAAACAAAAACATTCCATTATTTGAAAGTGGAGAAAAGCCTACTGAACATGGTTGTCTTCCCTGTTAAATGATAAGCTTCAGAACCACAACACTGTTTTCTCTGAAACTGAGAAACTCTAAGAGGGATCAGAAACCTCTTCTTCCTGCTCAGTTAGAAATCAGCATCTCATTCCACAGAATTAAATAAAAGGTGCCATCACAGAAGAAATGAATGAATGATGGAAGCCTCACACCGGGGTCTGTCTGTGGCACAGGGTTGCAGCTCCTTCAGCTGACAAGTGGAAGTCTGAATGCTCAAATGCTCCACGTTGTATTTACAGTTCTTCCCATTGAAGCTTTCCAGTGCCACAGGCACACACAGCCCAGCAACAAGCTCATGCCCTGTTTATGGAGACAGTACACCTACAGCACAGTGAGTACTTGTATGAGAGCTTCAGCAAGACATGGCATCAAATTGGCCAATGTGGTCTGATCAGTATAGTTATGAAATTATATGGAAAATTTCAAAAACAAAAGCTAAAAGAGATGAAAATTGCACCAAATAAAGGAGCAGTCTATCTTTCTCAATAGAATTGTCACATGAATGAATTCACATTCATTCCTGAAATTTAGATTTAATAAAAACAATATAGCATCTGCCATAAACATACTTGCTTGGTTTTAACATGGAAACATCTATACTCACAGAAACTTGAGAGATTTTCTCTCAACTGATACAGTTAAAATTACTGTACGATCTGGACAGGGTTGGCACTCTTCAAACCTTATTGCTGAACTACAACCAGCACTTCAGTTAAGGCATGAAAATTCGGATAAACAGCAATATTCATCATAATAAAAAGCTGTATTTACCCAAAAATCTACGGAGTTTCATCGTATCTAACTGGAAGTGTTCAATTAGTCCATGAAGATTAAACAGATGAAAGGTTAAGCTGACTAGACTGTTTCCTAAAAATAAGATGAAAATACTAATTCATTGGAAGTCATGAAATCAGTGACTTTCACAAGAAACGTATTTCAAACAAATTGGACACAAAAATTACATAAGCAAATTTTTCTACACCATGATAAATACTTAAATCTTCTTGCATGACAAGATTCCATTAGCTGACTCCTCTAGTGACTGCCAATATTGTTCACTGCCAAATGACAGGAGGAAAATGTTACCAACATTAAAAAAGCAAGAAGTTTAAACGTTCAAATCCATTACAACAGTATTCAACTTAGTGGTATGTTGCATCATTATTTTTATAGATGGACACACAGCTCAAAGAGGAATACAGAAACCATCAGAAAAACAAAAAGCTCAATCATCTCGATCATGCACATTGCACGTATGCTGCCATGCATTTTCATCTTTTTTGTGTGTAGGAAATTATTCCTTATTTCAGCCAGAAATCTAATAAAAAGTTCTACATTTCTCTAGGAAATGTACATTAAAAGCTTGTAATACATTTCACCTGCTCACAGCAATAATATTGCAACCACGTACAGTCATAAAACAGACAAAGCTGTAAAAGCCAGGGAAATAACTGCATGTTTACTGTTTACCTGAAATAGCTTGCAAATTATTTACTCTGCAAACAGTACGTAGGGAAGGATTACTCAGGGTTGGTACATTTACTCTGACAATCTCATTTAGCAGGAATCAGATAATCTAGCCCAGGCAGAAACTGAGATACAAAAGGACAAACAATTCTGCTAAATCTAACTCATCATTTGCTTGAAGTATTTAAGGGTGCCTGCCACTTCCTC